CGTTTAATAAATATGTTACACATTTTGACAGTAAAATAATATACACACTATAAAAAAAGCAATGCTCAGGTGAAATGTTTTACTTTATGTTGCAAGTAAAAATAGTGTAAACGAAAATCGCAAAATTACCAAGCAAGTGACTTATCAAAACTTTGTCACCATTACCAATGCTACCCACAAAGATACCTACATTTCCTTATTATCTCGAAAACTGTATTTCATTTTGTTGATCAGTGTGACCATACGCCTTTATTACTACCGGTATCCATAAAAGTGACTAATGCGCTTACGAATGGCGCAGCAGAGGTCGCGAACTAGTCTAGATTTCTGCTATACATCCGGGTACTCACTGGGAAAAAACAATAACAAAGCCAACAACCAGTCCCGGGGAATTGCGTTAGATCAGTGCCCCTTTAAGATTGTTAGGTCAATGGAGGAATGACTGCTAAGAGAACAGGGACTGAAGATTGCTAGGTCAAATGGGGGAATGACTGCGAAGAGAACAGGAACTTCAGACTGCTAGGTCAATTGGGGGAATGACTGCTAAGAGAACAGGGACTGAAGATTGCTAGGTCAAATGGGAGAATGTCTGTTAAGAGAGAAGTGGCTTAAGATTGTTAGGTCAATGGAGGAATGACTGATAAATGAGCAGGGGCTTAAGATTGCTAGGTCAAATGGGGGAATGTCTGCTGAGAGAGAAGGGACGTAAGATTGCTAGGTCAAATGGGGAAATGACTGCGAAGAGAGCAGGGACGTAAGATTGCTAGGTCAAATGGGGGAATGTCTGCTAAGAGAGCAGGGACTAATGAATTCTTGGTCGAATGAAAAGAGCAGAAATGATTCCAGTGATGAGTGAGTGAGTGAGTATGGTTTCACGCCGCTTTTAGCAATATTCCAGCAATATCACGGCGGGGGACACCAGAAATGGGCTTCCCACATTGTACCCATGTCGGGAATCAAACCCGGGTCTTCGGCGTGACGAGCAAACGCTTTAACCACTAGGCTACCTGACCGCCCCCGATTCCAGTGATGGAAGGAAGAGGTGATTCCTTTGATGCAATGACATCTAATTATGATGTTTGACAGTTATTCTGAACCATTAAGTCTGGCTTAGTGCTACTGTCATGGAACATATGTTCTGAATGCTTAATTTCAGGTGACCTACAAGGCTGTGTTTATAAGGCAGCAGTTGAAAACTGCTCTGTGATCTGGTTCCAACTTACCATTACTGGTTTTAGTCCCTCTATGTTTGGTAGATAATAGAGAAACGCTGGATCCATATATTTCTGTATGACATGAGTGTGGGGCCCCTGTGGGGCACCGAGAGGGAGGCCATTGACTTGAGTTGATGAATGAGATTGGAAGCACACTTTGATGTAAGACCACCTATGTAATTGAACTTATTTAATGATCACAACTAGAGATGTCAAAGGAGTAAATTACCCATTGACATTGGACTATTCTCTCATGTGAATAGCCCATTTGCTTATATATTAGCATCACATGAACGCACAATACATCAATTCATTCCAAGTTATCACTGTTCAGAAACCAATGTTGGCCATTCATGAACTGGAATTGACTTTTTTGAGGAACAGAAGGCAGAGGAGGAATGTATAGTCCATGTTTTATCACTGGTTGATGTACACCTGAGGCATCTGACAGTGTTAGGTATAGTCCATGTTCTATCACTGGACAATGTTTGTTTGTTTGTTTGTTTGTTTGTTTGTTTGTTTGTTTGTTTGTTTGTTGTTTAACACCGCACTCAGCAATATTCCAGGTATATGACAGCGGTCTGTAAATATTCGAGTGTGGACCAGACAATCCAGTGATTGACATCAAGAGCATCAATCTAGGCAACTGGAATACGATGACATGCATCAACCATATCAGCGAGCCTGACCACCCGGTCCTGTTATATTAGTTGCCTTTTACGACAAGCATGGTTGACTGAAGGCCAATTCTACCCTGGATCATCACGGGTCCACACTTGCCAATGAACACATGGGACATCTGACAGTGTTAGGTATGGCCAGTGTTTCATCACTGACCCAACCGTGACACAGAGACTGGGTCTACCATGGAGGAGACTGGGCCTACCATGACACAGAGACTGGGTGTACAATGTCACAGAGACTGGGTGTACCATGTCACAGAGACTGGGCCAACCATGACACAGAGACTGGGTGTACCATGTCACAGAGACTGGGCCAACCAGGACACAGAGACTGGGCCAACCATGACACAGAGACTGGGCCTACCATTACACAAAGACTGGGCCTACCATGACACAGAGACTGGGTTTACCATGACACAGAGACTGGGCCTACCATGACACAGAGACTGGGTCTACCATGTCACAGAGACTGCTACCATGACACAGAGACTGGGCCAATCATGACACAGAGACTGGGTCTACCATGACACAGAGACTGCTACCATGACACAGAGACTGGGTCTACCATGACGTAGAGACTGCTACCATGGCACAGAGACTGGGTTTACCATGACACAGAGACTGGGCCTACCATGTCACAGAGACTGGGTCTACCATGACACAGAGACTGGGCCTACCATGACACAGAGACTGGGCCTACCATGACACAGAGACTGGGTTTACCCTGACACAAAGACTGGGCCTACCATGACACAGAGACTGGGTCTACCATGTCACAGAGACTGCTACCATAACACAGAGACTGGGCCAACCATGACACAGAGACTGGGACTACCATGACACAGAGACTGGGACTACCATGACACAGAGACTGGGCCTAGCATGTCACAGAGACATGGCCCCTACCATGACACAGAGACTGGGCCAACCATGACACAGAGACTGGGCCAACCATGATACAGAGACTGCTACCATGACACAGAGACTAGGTCTTCCATGACACAGAGACTGCTACCATGACACAGACACTGGGCCTACCATGACACAGAGACTGGGCCTAGCATGTCACAGAGACTTGGCCTACCATGACACAGAGACTGGGTCTACCATGAAACAGAGAATGATACCATGACACAGAGACTGGGTCTACCATGAAACAGAGAATGATACCATGACACAGAGACTGGGTTTACCATGACACAGAGACTTCTACCATGACACAGAGACTGGGCCTACCATGACACAGAGACTGGGCCTAGCATGTCACAGAGACTTGGCCTACCATGACACAGAGACTGGGTCTACCATGAAACAGAGAATGATACCATGACACAGAGACTGGGTTTACCATGACACAGAGACTGCTACCATGACACAGAGACTGCAACCATGACACAGAGACTGGGTCTACCATGTCACAGAGACTGGGCCTAGCATGACACAGAGAGTTGGCCTACCATGACAAAAAGACAGCCTACCATGACACAGAGACTTGGCCTACCATGACACAGAGACTGGGTCTACCATGTCAGAGAGACTGGGTCTACCATGACACAGAGACTGGGTCTACCATGACAAAAAGACGGCCTAGCATGACACAGAGACTGGGCCTAGCATGACACAGAGACTGGGCCTACCATGACAAAAAGACGGCCTACCATGACACAGGGACTGGGTCTGCCAGGACACAGAGACTGGGCCTACCATGACACAGAGACTGGGTGTACCATGTCACAGAGACTGGGCCTAGCTTGACACAGAGAGTTGGCCTACCATGACAAAAAGACGGCCTACCATGACACAGAGACTCTGCCTACCATGACACAGAGACTGGGCCTACCATGACACGGAGACTGGGCCTACCATGACACAGAGACTGCAGTGGTTTACCATGAGACAGAGTCTGGGCCTACCATGAGACAGAGTCTGGGCCTACCATGACAAAAAGACGGCCTACCATGACACAGAGACTGGGCCTACCATGACACGGAGACTGGGCCTACCATGACACAGAGACTGCAGTGGTTTACCATGACACAGAGGCTGGACCTACCATGAGACAGAGTCTGGGCCTACCATGACAAAAAGACAGCCTACCATGACACAGAGACTGGGCCTACCATGACAAAAAGACGGCCTACCATGATGACTGGGCCTACCATGTCACAAAGACTGCTACCATAACGCAGAGACTGGGCCAACTATGACACAGAGACTGGGCCTACCATGACACAGAGACTGGGCCTACCATGTCACAGAGACTGGGTGTACCATGTCACAGAGACTGGGTCTACCATGACACAGAGACTGGGTGTACCATATCACAGAGACTGGGCCTAGCTTGACACAGAGAGTTGGCCTACCATGACAAAAAGACGGCCTACCATGACACAGAGACTCTGCCTACCATGACACAGAGACTGGGCCTACCATGACACGGAGACTGGGCCTACCATGACACAGAGACTGCAGTGGTTTACCATGACACAGAGGCTGGACCTACCATGAGACAGAGTCTGGGCCTACCATGACAAAAAGACGGCCTACCATGACACAGAGACTGGGCCTACCATGACACGGAGACTGGGCCTACCATGACACAGAGACTGCAGTGGTTTACCATGACACAGAGGCTGGACCTACCATGAGACAGAGTCTGGGCCTACCATGACAAAAAGACAGCCTACCATGACACAGAGACTGGGCCTACCATGACAAAAAGACGGCCTACCATGACGACTGGGCCTACCATGTCACAAAGACTGCTACCATAACGCAGAGACTGGGCCAACTATGACACAGAGACTGGGCCTATTATGACACAGAGACTGGGCCTACCATGTCACAGAGACTGGGTGTACCATGTCACAGAGACTGGGCCTACCATGACATAGAGACTGGGTGTACAATGTCACAGAGACTGGGTGTACCATGTCACAGAGACTGGGCCTACCATGACACAGAGACTGGGTGTACCATGTCACAGAGACTGGGCCTACCATAACGCAGAGACTGGGACAACTATGACACAGAGACTTGGACGACCATAACACAGTCAAAGCATTTTTATGTTGATAATCATTAAGGCATTTTGTCTGTGCAGGTAGAATGTGAAGGAGTCCACCAACCTCTCCCATGGGGTGTGCCTCCTCCAATACTGTCAGCCGCAAGGAAATGACCAAGTCAGAAAAAGGTAGCTTAGATGCATGCAGGGTCAGACACTTTGACGAGCCACTAGAAGCTGGGATACTGTCAACATTAGATGCATGCAGGGTTAGACACTTTGACGAGCCACTAGAAGCTGGGATACTGTCAACATTAGATGCATGCAGGGTTAGACACTTTGACGAGCCACTAGAAGCTGGGATACTGTCAACATTAGATACATGTAGGGTTAAACACTTTGACCAGCCACTAGAAGCTGGGATACTGTCAACATTAGATACATGCTTGGTTAGACACTTTGACGAGCCACTAGAAGCTGGGATACTGTCAACATTAGATGCGTGCAGGGTTAGACACTTTGACGAGCCACTAGAAGCTGGGATACTGTCAACATTAGATACATGCAGGGTTAGACACTTTGACGAGCCACTAGAAGCTGGGATACTGTCAACATTAGATACATGCAGGGTTAGACACTTTGACGAGCCACTAGAAGCTGGGATACTGTCAACATTAGATACATGCAGGGTTAGACACTTTGACGAGCCACTAGAAGCTGGGATACTGTCAACATTAGATACATGCAGGGTTAGACACTTTGACGAGCCACTAGAAGCTGGGATACTGTCAACATTAGATGCATGCAGGGTTAGACACTTTGACAAGCCACTAGAAGCTGGGATACTGTCAACATTAGATACATGCTAGGTGAGACACTTTGACGAGCCACTAGAAGCTGGGATACTGTCAACATTAGATGCATGCAGGGTTAGACACTTTGACGAGCCACTAGAAGCTGGGATACTGTCAACATTAGATACATGCAGGGTTAGACACTTTGACGAGCCACTAGAAGCTGGGATACTGTCAACATTAGATGCATGCAGGGTTAGACACTTTGACGAGCCACTAGAAGTAGCATCTCATCATCTCCTCCAGCAAACAATATAAATTATGTCTAACAACATTCTGTTTTTTAATTAAATGGATTTCTGAGAAAAAAATAAAGGTCAAGCTTCAAGATGTGAATAAATGCAAATGAAACTTATACAAAATGTGACATTCATTCTCTGGATCCACAAAAGCATCCCGATTAACTTCTTAATGAAATCATTTTTAAAACTCATGGGCTTAGCTATTGATTGGAAATATTACTGTCTACTATTTATTCCAGATATTCCAGATATATGTATAGTTATCTGTTCTGCAGCGATCAAGGCAGCCATCTTGATACAGAAGTGGTACCGGCTGTACACAGCTCGACTGGAGGCTCGCAGGAGATGCACCTGGAACATCTTCCAGAACATAGAGTATTATGGGGAACAGAACCAGCTGAAGGTGAGCGCTAACATCTTCCAGAACATATCTCGTCTGCTCACTGTCCTGTGGCCACCAAGGTTAGAAATGATATAAGGGTGACGCTATTTTTCAGGGCATTATCATTTACAGAAGCCCAAGGTCTTCCATTAATTGATGTACTGCATTGATGTTTCTTGTAAATAGGGACAGAAGTTTGGTAAAACGATATGGATGCTTGTTCACGTGCCTAACAGTGAGAGCAATACACCTAGAACAAGAGTGCTCTGAGAGCACAACATCCCCCGCATGAATTTTTTTAACGAGTTTATATTTTCTTTGTATTTTATGAAATAACAACAGTAGAACATTTTGTTGGGAGTAATCCAGTCTGAATGCTAATGCCATAAGGATGTAGCTCACCCACAAAAGCCATATACAAGGAAACTATCTATAGTTATAGTTATAGTTTATTTATTGTGATATTCTCTGGAAACTGGAGGAGGAGTAGATCTCATATATAGTATATGATATCGGTAAATAGTACACCTTAGAAAAAAATGTTCTTGCATGTATAAGACAATAGGATTTATGTAAGTTCATCAATTTTCAATTTAAATTGAAAAAAGAAAAAAAAAGAAAAAAATCTGTTAATAGCAAAGGCACCACTACATAACCTGCTTGATAGGTGTAAAAACGTTTGAGATGCTAAGTTGTATGGTTCGGGAGATATGGTGTGGACAAGAGCACTACCCTCAAATTCCCTAAGTTCATCATATTTCCATGGAAACGACAAAAATATAAAATTCTAAAAATCTCTAAATAGCAAAAGGCACTTCCACTGAGAATGATTGTTAAGTGTACCAAGTTTTGTGAAGCTAGGTTGTACGGTTTAGAAAATATGCTCTGGACAAGAGCAGTACCCTTAAATTTCCTAAGTTCATCATATTTCCATGGAAACGACAAAAATAAAAAATTCTAAAAATCTCTAAATAGCAAAAGGCACTACTACTGAGCCTGATTGGTAAGTGTACCAAGTTTTGTGAAGCTAGGTTGTACGGTTTAGGAAATATGCTCCGGATAAACAATGATTACAGATGGACAGATGGACATACTGATGGCTATAACAAGTAATAACCAGTGACATTTAGCATACACTAGAGTTGTGTTCATAACCCTGACATTATTGCAGGGTCTTAGCTCATTCTGAACAGTTATGATAATCAAAGACAACTTTTCAAAAATATCTTATAATAATTTCATGGTGTATTTTCTGAAATAATTAAACTTCAGTGAGCTTTTTGATAATTTATTTTAAACTCAGTTTTGTCTAGTCACTTAAATCAATACAATATCAGAATTAGACCCCCTTTCATGAAAGTGTGTAACTACATCTTTCAAGGTTTTCAGTATAATGGGTACAATGATGGGCACGAAGCACCCATTTCCTCTGCAATCAGTGGAACATTTGTGACATCCCAGAGGGCATGTAATGGGGCCTTTACACAGGAAGGTTGGTTGCTCAAAGGTGGCTCAAAGGAGGCAGAAGGGAGGCACAAGCATTGCCGTTGTTGCAAAATGAAGGCACAGTGGTCGCCCAATGGTCGCAAGGTAGAAGATGCGTTCTGCTGCAGATGTATTCCGTTAATCTGGGCGATGCTTCTGCCTCCCTTGTGCCTCCTTTGGGCAACCAACAGCGTGCACTGAACAATGACTCCATTCGGCAACCACGACAACCCTTGAGACACCACGGCAAGTCTTCTGCCTCCTTCGATATACCTGTAGTGCCTTGTCAGCCTGACTATAAATGGAGGGCTTGTACCTGCAGTGTTTTATTGTGGTTGCAGACACTGAACAACTCGAGCAGTTAATGCTGAACAACTGCTGGAGCTGGGTTTAGGCGACCATTGAGCGTCCTGGCCAGTTTTTGATCGCTCAAAGGTGGCACAAAGGTCGCAGCCCTGTGTAAAAGGGGCTTAATCTTGGGGTCACACTCTTTAAGGTGAAAGTTTCCAGCACTGGTACAGTCGAACTCAAATTCATGGGGACCTGGAAACAGTGTGAGTTATCTGGGGTTCGAGACAACTAACAAAGTGAATTTTCGAAATTCAAACATTATGATATGAGAGATTATTACCAATTCCGGATGCAACACTAGATTTCAAGGTGTACGTAAAGTTCAGTTCAGGCTGCTGGAAGTAAAGGGGGCGGCATCTCAGGGGTATCATCCATCTCACGACCCCCATCTGGATTCATGTTCATCATTGTTCATGTCCTATCTCACTATTATAATCTTGATCCGTTTTACTTATTTCTCAATTGTCATTTGTCATCGGCAGTCACGTGTGAACACTTAAGTAGCATGCTGCCGAATTGTATACAGTAATCAGCTTGCACCATCCGCCAGTTAAACCGTTATCACCCAATGCGACAGAGGATCAAGGGAGATAACTCTGGTGACTTGCCATTATAATAACCACAAACAATAATGTTGGCGTGACAACCTTTTCTCCTTCTCTACGGGAGGATAATGAGGTTAAACCAATGGTTGGACAATCATTGACATTTATCGTAGTAAAAATTGCGAAATAACTGCCTGTTTTATAAAGTCCAGGATTATTGAATTTATGAAATACTTATTCATTAAGCACTATAAGTCCCTTTTTGTTCATAAAGTCACAAGAAAAGTCAATTTTTTTAAATAAACTGAAAAAGAAGAGTACTGATGAACCATCATTGGACAGACTTACCTCAGGTTCATGGGGATTATTCTGCCCCTTTTGGCGTACTCGCAAACACAAGTATTTATGTTTTAATCCGCTGACATTGTAAGCAAACACAACACAGTATTAGAACCATCATAGGACAGACTAACATCAGGTTCTAGGGTATTATTTTGCCCCAATGAAAAAAAACATTTAAAAAATCTAACTCAAAATCTTGAAGATGTGAGGGTCTCCTTCTTTCCCGTTTTGGGCGGCTAGGTGTAAGTGGTTGGCTACTGCCCTGTATGGGTTCTGGAGGCTGGACTATCTCTGAGGGAGGATCTGGGTATTGTGGAGGTTCGCTTCCATTTTGATTGAACAGGGGTTGAACCATGACACGTTCTGGCAGAGCCTCTAAAGGTTGATGTGGACTCTTGTCTGTGTTCTCAATGTCTACCATGACTGACTCGTTGGACTCATCTTTGTCAATTTGGCTGACTTGGGGTTCTGGAAGGGTTGGCGAGACATGATAGCAATCTAAAGACTGGACACGATATGCAGTGTCTCTCAGTTGTGTTCCAACAAACTTGCGTATATCACACCATGGGCCATCAACACTGGTGACGAGATACTGTGAACGAGAGCAAGCTTTGTTCCGATCTGATTTCAAATACACAATGTCCCCGACCTTTAAGACCTGGTGTGCTGGTAAGTTGCCATTTCCAGCTTTGGCTTTAACACTATGAGGGTGGTTTTTCACACGAGATTCGTGTTGAGAGGATATTAATGTTCTGTCTAACATAGGAATCTGTAAGTGAGAAAATTGGTCTCGTTAGGTCAAAACTTCTCGAGCTGAGAGACCACCTTGACGAATGCATGTGTTTAATGAGGCAACAGCAACAGCCAGGGTTGTTGATGAGATCGGTCCCCTTGACGGATCTGTTCGTAGAATTTCAAGTTCCAATTCTTGAATAGCTTTCTCAGCCACTCGATTTTTATTAACGTTTCTAACATGGCCTATCTCAAGTGACAATCTGTGCTTCAGCAGGAAGGGGTTGTTTTGCAAGGAGAGAAATCCTGGGGCATGATCAACACGAATGACTCTTCTAGGGCCTTCAAGTGGACACATGCCTACACACAAGCGAATAAGAGCATCACGCAGGGTACATGCCTCCTCATCTTTAATGAGACATGATTCTGTATATGATGATATACACTCTCTGGGTACAAAAATCATTTGTCGCTCTCGGCGCATCACATCAGCTGCATAGGCAATTCCTATCACTTCTGGTGGTTCGGATGTTGATTGTTCGACTCTTACTGTTGGTGTCTGTCTGTTGAAATTGTTCAATTGTTTTGTCAAAATCGAGGGCATAAAAGTATCTATGCAGAACCTTCTTTAGTTGATATGCTGAGGGATGGTTTAACTTGAGGTGTAAAGCAGTTACAACACCGTCAATAACCCTACGGGGGATAATGACACACTCTCTTGGCGGTTGCAAGGGATCAGCATACTTTACGACCAATAATCCGTCTTTAGCCATAGTGGCAACAGCTAGATAACGTTTGATATCTTTGATATTGGTCAGTTTCTTGGAGGGGCGTGTGCCTTGAACTAGGTGAGCATGAGTATGCCTCAAATCATTACATTCCCCCTGTAATGATCGCCATGTACTGCGAGTCATAAATGGCAAACAGGTTTTCCCGGACATTATATCCTCAACTGTGGTGCTTCATACGACAGAGTCTTCCATGGTTTCAATGAAGGAGCATATTTGACAAGATTGGTCAGAACACTCAGGTGCATTTCTGCTGGCAATATCTGAAGGAATGTTAGACGTTCCTGCTAGGTGATCTATTGTGGATTGATACTGACTTACAACAGAGAGAAAAAGTTGATACCCTTGGACTTGCTGAGAACTCTCCCTTGCACAATTTCCGAAAGGCAAGTACACAAGGTTTACTATCTGTGAGGACGTGTGTTTTGTGGCATGATTGTATCAAGTATGGGCTGAAGTGCCTGATGGCAGCAGCAGCAATCGACAATGCTTCAACCTCACATGGGATCCAAGATATCTGAAGTGGTTTCAACTTTGCACTGAAAAATCTGGCTAATTTCGTTTTTCCATCTCGGACAAGGTACATTGTAGTGCCAATACCTGGTTTTCTTAAAGTCCCATCTGTAACAATCCAAAGCTAATCATCAGGATGTGGAAGAGTGATTGTTTTATTCATGGCTGAGGATTTTTGAGCATAACATAACATAACAAGTCCATTTATAATGCGCCAGATTCCATTCACCAAGTTAATGCTCATAGCGCTACATAGTTTTAGCAAATATTGCTAATGAAAGGGGAGTAGAGATGATAGTGTTGTCTGAAAAGGTGTGTTTTCAGATGAGCCTTAAAGGATGAAAGCGATGGCGACAGCTTAAGATCAGATGGTAGTTTGTTCCATAGCGAGGAAGCGCAGAACTGGAAAGATCTCTGACCAAATGTTTTGAGAAGGATTTCTGGGACTTGTAACAGGTGGTTATTCTGAGAACGGAGAGATCTGGAAGGCTTGTATTTAGGCAGTAGTTCGGTGAGATATAATGGGGCTGTTTCCATGAAGCATTTATAGGCCAGGGTTAGAATACTGAATTCAATTCTGGCTTTAAGTGGTAACCAGTGCAGCGACATCAGAGCAGGTGTTAAATTGGAGCCTGTGGAGTTGATCATTTGTGATTTACTCATGAGACTGTTGCAATAGTTAAGCCGTGATATAACTAAAGATCTAGCCAAAGTGTGTGCAGCTTCTTTTGTGAGTAGATGTCGAACACTTCCGGTGTTGCAGAGATGAAAGAAGCAGGACTTTGAGACATGGCTTACATGTTGTTCCATAGTTAGTCCACTGTCCAGATAAACGCCAAGATATTTCACAGATTTTGAGAATTCGATATTGGAATCACCAACTAGAATCTTGTTAACTTGTCGTTTATTTTCAGTTTGTTCTAAGTCATCCACGACTGGATGGCTCTGGTGCAATCTTCGACATTTTGAAGCTCTGTTTCAGTTTCAGATGGCATGAAAGTCTTCATCAGTTGCGTATCATTGGCATAGCAATGATAGTTCAGTAGCTGCTTAGAGATGATATGACCCAAACTTTTAGTGTACAGTGTGAAAAGAATGGGGCCCAGAACTGACCCTTGGAGAACCCCACAAGAGAGAACATCTAAGTATGATGTAAACCATTTGAGAGCATTTCCTTCTAGTCCTATCTGATGGTGTAAACAGCAGAGTGAAAGGCATCCACTAGGTCATCAGTCCATGCAACTTTATCACTGGACTGCGTCCTGCAGTTAAAGAATCAAGAGAACCTATTGTTGCCACACAGTGTGGGAGTACCCGTGACAAAATTTTGTAGGCTCCAATGAATTATCGTAATCCAGAAACAGTTGTTGGAAGCACGCAGGACAGAGTGGCAATGCGATGAGGACTTGTTTTGATAGACCCGTCTTGCCACTTCCATCCTAAAATAGTAACTGAACGTGGAGCAATGAATGTCTTGTTGGGGGACAGTTTCAAGTTGTTTTTATCCATAGCCTGTAGAACCAACTGCCAGTTTTCAAACAACTCAGAGGGTGATGATCCACAATATAAATTGTCAGCAAGCTTCGCTACTATACCCTTTTCAATAAGATCGCTGAGAACACGGCACATGAGTTCCTCCAAGGCAGTCTATCGGGCATTCCCATCGCTGATCGTACATAAACCCTCACTCCACCGAATGGCGTTGCCACCCCACAATACTTCAAAGAATCCTTCGACAGAGGAATTTGTTAGAAGGCACTGGACAGGTCAGTGGTGATGAGGTACTTCCATTGGCTGATTTGTCGACGGGTAGAATCAATGGAGCAATGATGGTTGGGTTTGCTGTAGCGTCCTTCATCCCCATATGAAGTTACAAGACGGTATCCTCCAGATGGCCTTTTGACTAATGATGAGGCGAACGCACCGGTGGTGGAAGAAGGCATCCATGTATGGAGATTCCTCAACATGGACTACCCTTGCTAATGTGTTATTATCTGTCACATCAGTATTTGAGCACAAATCCTGCTCATCACTTGAGGGTGTATCATCAAAAATGTGTGCGATCTGCCTTGTCTTCATCATATACTTGCGCTCCCTCTCCGGTAAAAATTTGGATTCACTCAAAAAGTAGTTTACATTTGACCGTTTTGCTGCTGTGCAGATCGGACAAGATTTTGAATTCTAAAAATATCACTTTGGATACTGGCTACGCGACTCGGCCTGAGATCCCATAACCTTTACATCTTCTGATGTGCATATTTCCTCTAACAATGAGTCCAAAGCCTGAGAGATTTCAGGTTTGATTTAGGCAAGTGTGTGTGAACGTAACTCGGTCCCGTACCGTTGCTTAACTAAGCTAGGGAGGTCATTGTGTAGAAGTCGTAGCCATGTCAGTACTATGAGATTCTCTACAGTAGGTGAGACTTCCTCATCTTCTGGGATCTCCCCGCCGTGATGAGTAATACCTGAGTCGCCCTGAAGCAAGTTGTCCTCAATAAATGCTGTTAAACCCTGGTATAAGTCCTCTGGTCTCTCATCTACCCATAATGAAGGCAAATTGATTGCCATATGTACGGTAATGAAGTTGAACTTCTCACTATTGTACCCCTTGATATGACAGGACAATAGCTGGCAATCTGGCCTAACATTAGTTCTAAAGTACTAACTTTCTGAACGGCAGTTTTACGCCATGCCTCGGCAACACCCTCGCCATCGTCAGTGAACGCCCTGTTTGGGTTTGCACGAGATTTCTTTAGCCAACTACTAACACCTACTTCTAATAAAGGGGTAAATGCGGTATCTGTTGATAAGGTGTACAACAAATTTTGTTTCCATCCCTCAAAGGAATTGTCTCATTCTTTGTGAGAATCCACTGTTTTGGAGCCCTGTGTGTTTATGCCATTGTGGTAACACGTGGAGTTACTAGCACGAAATAATCAAAACATCAATGCGTTTACCTATCCTAGTGAGAGCGTGATGCTACGATATCGCCTTGGAGACGTTCACCAGTCTCATCAGTTGCTACTGAAGGTTGAATACGCTTCCACGCTGTCACCACACCAGTTAAATCTTTACTTATCACCCAATGCGATAACTACAAACCAGGAACACGCTTGTTAAACTTCAGTGTTTATTGGCAGATGTTACAGATGAAGGGGGCAAGGGAGATAACTCTGGTGACTTGCCATTATAATAACCACAAACAATAATGTTGGCGATAGACATAAGGTGTGCTTGTTAATTAGGCTTGATTGGCTGATGTCATATTGTTAGAAGGTATCCTGCCTTTTATGTAACTCCATTAGTCGCAATGAGTTCACTCCATTGTGAAGTGAGTTGAAAGTTGAATGTTTGGCGTGTGCGTTGTGTGGATGTTATGAATTATTTTGAACTGTTTGAGTCATGAGGAGAAATTTAAATGAGGTCGAGACAACCGGGCATTCAACACATCCAGATTGACAGATCCAAGTATAAATGATGATAAATATAAAAGGGAAGGTGAGTTTGAGACTACCTGAAATTTAACACATCCAAGTTCAACACAGAGGGGTTCAAGTGTATGTTTAAGGGCTGTATTTATTTAATCCTTAGTAAAAGCATACAGCCCAACACATTTTGGATAAACAGAATGTAAACAACTTAAAGCAGTTTGCCTTGAACTACCAAAATATAAATCCAATCATGGAAAGAATCTCAAGAGAAAAATGAAACGAAACACGCTTATCATACATTTCTGGATGGTGACGATTTTCTTTGTATATAGCAGATGATCAGGTTACAATTCTCAGACATGGTTAACTATGCTGGTGTCAGTCATGTACTATGAACATCCTGCATTATTTAATTTACTACATATATCTTACACTCTTATTGTATACTTGAATTACTTCTAATCAGATATTAGCCCTACTTTCATTGGCATTCACACATTTTAAAGTCGCAGTACTTATTTATGAATTGATGTTAAATGGGGAATTTTAAAATTAATTGCTAATGCTTTGGTGCTTACATATCTAATAATAGTTTTGTCCAAAGAGTCATTTTCAATTAAACCTGTTATCAATTTTGGCTTATTTTTTTAACAAAATGATTTGTGTGAAAGGAGAGGAAAAGTTGGCATATATACAGATTTTACTACATTATGCTGTATTAATCATAACATTCCCAAAGGACTGAACAGAAGACTAATGTTTACACAAGTTTGAATGCTCCTTTTAGCAAGCAATGTTTAAATTTTGTAGTTATTTCATCAAGTCACATTGAACTTCTCACAGCTGGATATTTACTAGACCGTCATCAAAAGACTTCAAAGGAAATGACTGACCAAACTAAACCCCACTCCTTGTCTTGCAGTTGTACAACTTCTTCAACAGCATGCTGTCAGAATTTGATGGGAAAGACACGATTCAGCCTAAGATACTACATGCCTTCAGTCCAACCCATCATCCAACCATATATGGTGAGTAAGCAGACATGTTCATGGACCTGTATATATATATACTTACACACAAAAGAAACGCAAGTCGAGTATGCAGTATACATGTTATTTATTTTCAACAGTAAAGACAAGAAATACTAATAGGGCAAGATTGACAAAAATTTGACTGAAGACAGTTTAATGGATTAAAAAGCAGATGACATAATTGTTTTTTTCAAATGTTAAGGGCTTACACAGTTTCGGGTCAATACCCAAAATGTCAGTCAATACCTAGTGTGACCACCATTAGCATTGATCACTGCCACACATCTCCTGTACACTGAGTGGATCAGACGATTTGTGAAGGCCCTAGGGATCCTCCTGCACACATCCAGAGCAGCTGTGCATAGTTCATCGGCAGTTTTAGGGACTGGGCGCACATTGTGCAGACGCCTTTGAACCTCATCCCACAAGTGTTCGATGGGGTTCAGATCAGGGCTGAGGGCTGGCCACGGTAGAACATGGATGATGTGTTGTTGCAGAAAGGCCATGGTAGCTCTGGCAACATGGGGACGAGCTTTGTCCTGTTGGAAAATGTGTTGTTGATGTTGTGCAAAAAATGGAACAATGTGGGGTCTGATCACTTGGTCGATATACCGCTGAGCAGTGACGCCGTGTCCCCGACCTTGACCAACATTCAGAAAGCACATGGGTCCAAGTCTGGCATTAAGTCCAATCCCTGCCCATATCATGACGCCAGGTCCACCCCATGGATCCCTTTCCACAACGTTTCTGTCAGCAAAACGATCACCTCGACACCGCCAAATTCTGACTCTTCCGTCTGCATGGGATACACAAAAGCGACTTTCATCAGAGAAGATGACACACCTCCACTCCAATTGCGATGACCCTGTGCCCACTGAAGTTGTGCTTGTCGATGCCATGGTTGGAGAACAGAACGACGTGCTGGTCGGCGACATCTGAGGTTGTTGGATCAGAGACGTCGGATCACAGTGTCCCGGCTAATGTGTCGATTATGTGTTCCTATGGTCTGTCGAGCACTTTCACTTGCAGTTAGGAATGGATGTCGCTGGTGTTGACGGGTAATCTGCCGATCTTGTCGAGGTGTGGTGACCCTAGGATGACCGCTTCGAGGAAGGTCATCTGTAGTCTGTGTAGCATTGTGTCGATGCAGGAGACGGTAAATTGTGGTTATGTTAAAGTTGAAATGACGGGCAACATCTTGGACAGACTCTCCAGCTTCCAAACATCCGATAGCCTGGTTTCTCTGAATTTGAGTTAGTCGTGGCATTGTTGACCAAGGAGTGGTAGGTCCAAGAATCAGCCAGTTTTATACCAACTACAGTTCGTGCATTTTAGATTTTGCGTGAAATGGGTGCATGATACCCACATATTCATTGAAATGGTGCGTTTTGGCGATTTGTTTTTTATGTTGGGTTTTTACTCAGGGCTTCCAAAATGCAACCAAAAATATTGATAACACCACTGGCTTCACTACATGCTAAAACTCGTATCAATTTATGGTTCCATGTTTGTTACCTATTTGCTTAAAACCACTTGCGTTTCTTTTGCGTGTGAGTATACCTTATAGGTTTTTCACATTTAAAGATGCCAAAGTACTACATAAAATAATGTTATCACACCTGTATCTTAACCATATGGGATAACAATCAGCATGGTTACTGTGCCTGGCGCCAGTACGGTCAGCCAGGGTGGCCAGTACATCAAGCCAAAGGCTACATCATTCCTCATTCTCCCATGTCACTGTCACCATACTTGGATAACACATGTCACTTAGAAGAAAAATAATGATGCTGTTCTACAGACACTTACAAAGAGATTGTGATGAATCCTGATTTGTTTTTATGCTTATCATATGATTGACATGCCAGTTTGACATTGATCCAATAGAACTCTATGATTGTGTTAACTTGCATCCGTGTAGCAATGTCCATTCCAGTAATGTTGAGATATGCCAATAACACAAGCTAACAGTAATCAACTGCAACAAATATTGTGATGAATAAGGGCTGATGTTTGTTTTCCCAATGGTCCTAGTTCTGTCACAAGCTCTAGTCGTTCGTGCGCATGATGACAGAGAAGGGTATAACATTAATCATATGTCAAGGCATTATTGATCCTCACAGAGCAAACGACAGCTACTTCTACATCATCACAACATGGGCCTGGTGGCTTCATCACAACATCCTAATGCCAGTAATTTAATCCACTCCACTGATATGTATGCTCCGAGTATACTAGATGGCAAGGACGATGATATATTGATATCCTGGTTGTTGACCATCAGGAAATGCCCCTCGTTACTTATACTAATTACCACAAACCTGTAGATGGGAGGGCTCCACTCGTCAATTCCCATGCTGGATCATCAACTGCTGCTGCATCATATCCCTGCAGTTAATAACCATCGACAAAACAAACCATGGCCATCATGATATAGAGCAAAGCTTGAAGACCAAGCTTACAGAGTAAATAAGAATTATACTGAAACAATATCCTAACTGTAAACTATATATTGACAGAAACACATTCACACGTACTCTACCATGTTGTAGTAAATCATGCTGATCATGTTTCACATTTAATACTATTATCTCACACTGATATGTTTCACATGCCATACAAGTATTTCACACTGATCGTGTTTCACATGCCACACAAGTATATTACACTGATCATGTTTCACATGCCACACAAGTTTATATCACACTGGTCATGTTTCAAGATAGACACAATATTATGGATAACAACTTCTTTAATACTGTGAAAAGCGACGTTTCGGTATAGATCCTTTTACCGTTGTCAAGCAAGACTGAATGAGGGACATAGTACAGAATATATATAGTAGGTGGAGGATAAACAGTAACAACAATTGCATACATGAGTGGGATAACATTGGTAGGTGTTGACAACAAAGGGATGCTGCTGTCACAACACGATGGACAGTGAACACATAGGTGGTAGATCTCTGTTGATTCATGGCTTGTGGCGGCGAATGTGGACTGCTTCTGTTAGTTTTCTTTTAGTGAAATCATGGAGGTTGTTGGCGAGGATTTGGACGTTGTCCCAGTTGATGATGTGATTGGGACAGTTGCTGATATGGTCCGAGATGGCTAATTTGCTGTCGGATTTAATGGTGGAGGTTTTATGCACTTTCATTCTGGTGTTGATTGGGCGGAATGTTTCACCTACGTAAGATTGTCCACAGTTGCAGTCAATTTTGTAAACTACACCTTTAGGCTCTTGGAGTTTGGTTGTGTTCCTGCTGTTGGCTCTTAGCAGGGTGTTGAGGGAGTTGGAGCTGGTGAAGTGGGTGTCGATGTTGGCTTGCTGTTTGAGGAGGCGGCTGATAATGTGAGAGGCTTTTCCTATGAACGGGAGGGCGATGCAGAAGGGCGCTGATTCGGGTTTAAGGGTCGCAGGTCTGGGTGTGGGATGTAGCACAGAGGCGATGACTTTGTCGACGAGATTGGGTGGATAATTGTTGAGGTGAGTGAAGACTTGGCGGAGGTGTTCGATCTCAGGTTTGGGGTCAGCAGAGGAAAGGTTGATGGCCTGTTTGGTGAGGGTGGAGATGATGCCAGTCTTGGTTCTAAGAGGGTGGTTAGAGTTGTGGATATACTGGTCGGTGTGGGTGGGCTACCGGTAGACACTGGTCTGGATTCTGTTTGTTGGGCTTCTGCAGACAAGGACATCAAGGAAGGGCAGTTGGTTGTCCTTTTCTATTTCGATGGTGAACTGTACTGGGGGGTGTTGTTGGTTGTTAAGATGAAGTAGCAGGGTTGGGTTTTGGTCTTGTTTTAGGATGACAAAGGTGTCGTCAACTTTCCTGTACCAGCAAATAGGATCACTGATCAAATTTCACATACCATACAAGTATGTATCACACTGATCATGTTTCACATGCCATACAAGTATATCACACTGATCATGTTTCACATGCCACACAAGTATTTCACACTGATCATGTTTCACATGCCACACAAATATATCACACTGATCATGTTTCACATGACATACAAATATATCACACTGATCATGTTTCACATGCCATACAAGTTTATCACACTGATCATGTTTCACATGCCATACAAGTATATCACACACTGATCATGTTTCACATGCCATACAAGTATATCACACTGATCATGTTTCACATGCCACACAAGTATATACATGTATCACACTGATCATGTTTCACATGCCATACAAGTATATCACACTGATCATGTTTCACATGCCATACAAGTATATCGGACTGATCATGTTTCACATGCCATACAAGTATGTATCACACTGATTATGTTTCACATGCCACACAAGTATATCACACTGATCATTTTTCACATGCCATACAAGTATATCACACTGATCATGTTTCACATGCCACACAAGTATATATCACACTGATCATGTTTCACATGCCATACAAATATATCACACTGATCATGTTTCACATGCCATACAAGTATGTCACACTGATCATGTTTCACATGCCAGACAAGAATATATCACACTGATCATGTTTCACGTGCCACGCAAGTATATCACACTGATCATGTTTCACATGCCACACAAGTATATCACACTGATCATGTTTCACATGCCACACAAGAATATCACACTGATCATGTTTCACATGACATACAAATATATCACACTGATCTTGTTTCACATGCCATACAAGTATATCACACTGATTATGTTTCACATGCCACACAAGTATATACATGTATCACACTGATCATGTTTCACATGCCATACAAGTATATCACACTGATCATGTTTCACATGCCATACAAGTATATCACACTGATCATGTTTCACATGCCACACAAGTATATCACACTGATCATGTTTCACATGCCACACAAGTATATACCTGTATCACACTGATCATGTTTCACATACCATACAAGTATATCACACTGATCATGTTTCACATGCCATACAAGTATATCACACTGATCATGTTTCACATGCCACACAAGAATATCACA